CGGCCCCCCCCCCCCCCCACACAGGCGCTCAAGCATCGACATCGCAGCAGAGATGAGGTTAAGGTCGAGTAATATAGGGCCTAAATAATTACTAGCAGTATTCTTTTTGGGGGTCCTTATTATAATTATAGACTAATACCTTCCAAACCCTATTACTATTCTAATTTTATTACGGCCCCTACATTCGCAATTCCCTACATTTGCAATTCCATTAGTCAGCATTACGATCTCATCGCTTTCTGATTAAGACACCTATACAGGCAATGGAAACTGAAAGGGTAATGAACCTTGAAAGAGCTCTTGTTCTAGGACCCTTGCAGAGACCGTAAAGGACCCTAAACCCTAAACCCTAAACCCTAAACCCTAAACCCTAAACCCTAAACCCTAAACCGACAACGAAGCCCCCAAGCGGTCCAGGCGTGGCAGAGCTTCGGGCTCAAAAGCCGCGGAAAAGCCGACAGCACAGCGTGGATGTACTGCAGACCCTGTGGTGCCTCTACGAGGACGCCGGTTGGATCGAGCTTCTTAGGGTTTAGGGTTTAGGGTTTAGGGTTTAGGGTTTAGGGTTTAGGGTTTAGGGTGCCATCACTAGAACCATTGCTTTCATCTTCATGCAAGCAATGTGGCTCCTGTCGATGCCACCTTGCCAAGGTCGAGAACAACCCCAAGTGTGTTGAAGGCTCGTGGCACAATATGGCGAACTCAGCAAACAGGCCTGAGCAGTCCAGTTTCTACCTTGTCTGCTCACTATGCCCTGAGATAAACCCTACAAGCTGAAAACTTATAGCACTAAATTCTAAACCGTATGAGCCGTACTGGACTGTACATCGCAGACCCGTCTGCATCAGGAGGATGGGAGCAGAGGCACTTTCCTGGGCTACTGGGTCACCATCATTCCGGGGCAGCTGAAAGGCCCTTTCGCCCACGACGACCTGAGTGCCCTTAGGGACTATGCCAGCAACAGTACCTGCCTGCTCCTAGGCAGTGTCTGGGGCGTAAGGTCTAGATTTTTGATGTAGGGTTTTGGGGTTTATAGGGTGTAGGAGGTTTTTCTGTTCGGGGTTCAGGGTGAGTGACGGCTTGGGAAGCCGTTGCTGGGCTCGCAGCTACAGCTTGTTCTTTGCATTCCCGTTGCAGCGTTAAGTTCAGGGGATCCTTGAGCTAATAACTCCAGGTGCCAGCAGATCTGACATAGTATTTAGGGGCCTAAATAAATACCTACATCATTTTGGGGGCTCCTTAACATAATTATATTATAAGAAGCCCAAAACCCTATTCTAATGAGTAAGGCCCCAACATTAGGGGCGTCTGGATATGAATTGGTAAGGGGTTCCAATAACCAGAGTTAACTTCAGACCTGTGTGGATGGTTTGCGGAGGTTCAATAGGCTCTGCCCGACTACTATAGGTGCCTAATTAATTACATCTATTATTTGTTTGTGGGGGTTCCTTATTGTACTTATAGTATAAAGGATCCCCCAAGCCCCATTCTAATTATTAAGGCCCCTACATTACCCGCACTGCAGATTTGGAGGTTTAGGGTTTAAGGTTGACGGTTTAGGGTTTAGGGTTTAAGCTTGAAGGCTTAGGGTTTAGAGTTTAAGGTTTAAGGTTCAGGGTTTAGGGTTTAAGGCTGAAGGTTTAGGGTTTAGGGTTTAGGGTTTAGGGTTTAGGGTTTAGGGTTTAGGGTTTAGGGTTTAGGGTTTAGGGTCGTAATTCCCCAAGACATCCTGCTCTGTTCCTCAGAGGTGGGATCGAAAGTAAGGCCGAAGACTGGGCTACGCGGCTACACCCTAAACCCTAAACCCTAAGCAATAAACCCTAAGCCCTAAACCCTAAGCCCTAAACCCTAAACCCTAAGCCCTAAACCCTAAACCCTAAACCCTAAACCGAACTGTAGTACTGTTGTCGGATAGCCCGTTTCATGGCATAAGTCCCATGAGAAGAACACAAGGTAAGCAGAAAGGGCATTCTAAACGCTGAATCTGAACCCTAAACCCTAGGCCCTAAACCCTAGACCCCGAACCCTAAACCCTAAACCCTAAACCCTAAACCCTAGATCCTAAACCCTAAACCCTATAGACCCTAAACCCTAAACCCTATACTATTATACACTTCGGGGCAGGTCTGCTTTTGAAGTTGCGACCCCCCCCCCCCCCCCCCCCCTCAAGCTCGGAAGATGGGTTTCGGATTCTCGAAGTCAAGTCGACGTCTCGCCCACCAACTTATTAGGGCTTAGGGGTTTAGGGGTTTAGGGTGTAGGGCTCAGGGGTTTAGGGGTTCAGGGGTTTAGGGGTTTAGGGTTTCGTGTTGATTGTTTGTGGTTTAGGGGTTTAGTGTTTAAGGTTTAGGGGTTTAGGGGTTAGGGTTTAGGAAACTCCTGGGGGTCATGTGAAGCCGCAAGCTCAGGCATGCCGATACATCAGGCAGAACCAGCCCCCCAAAACTTTCACCCAAAAGCTCAAAGGTCTGAATCCCATAACTGTAAAGCTCTATACCAACAGCCCCAACCACTAATGAAATTGCAATTTCAAGCCCCGAGACCCTAAACCCTAAAATGCCCGAAAATCCTAGCCTCCTGCCACCCATTCTGAGGTGCTTGGGAAAGGGCTGGCTGATTTGGATGCTGCCGCACTTCTCCGTGTACCTCACGGGCTTCTCCTTCTGCAGCGCCTCGCTTTTTGTGTGTGGAGTTTCTGTGGTTTTGGGGCTTTGGGCGTGGTGTTTTGGAAGTTTAAAGCCGTCCCTAACTTCAGACTGCAAGCAACACCATGATACACCCTCAACTTGCAGCCCCACACTTCCACTCCTAAACGATTCGACCGTTTGCGCTATACACACATGGACCGCTGGGTCAGAGGTGCGATGTTGGGGAGCGTTCACTTCCAGATCTTGTGCTCCAACGATGGCTGCAACTGGCACGTGGCGCTGGCCTCAAACAGAGAGGACCCGGGAGAAAATCAATGCGATTTGCACCTCCATGGTTGCTGAGAAACCCACGCCTAACGTGAAACAGACTAAACCCAAAACACCAAAAGAACCCCATAACAAAGCCCTTTAACAAATCTCACAGAACCTTCTTAGGCAGAGAACCATTAACCCTAAACCCTAAACCCCCGACAACGACAAAACAAACCGACAACGACAAAACAAAAAGAATCGGAGGAGCCCTAAACCCTAAACCCTAAACCCTAAACCCCAAACCCAAAACCCTAAACCCTAAACCCTAAACCCCCAGGAGCTCAAGGCGTGGAAGCCCGTGGCCTGTGAGAAGCCGCCGCACCTGGTGAAGTGGTTCAAGCTCGAGGTCCTCGCAGCTTGGGCTCTGGTAGGGTGTAGGGTTTAGGGTTGTTGAGGGTTGAGGGTTGAGGGTTAAGGGTTTAGGGTTTAGGGTTTAGGCTTGAGGGTTTGGGGTTTAGGGTTTCGTGGATTTCGGCTTCTTACAGTTTAGGGCTTTGGGTGTAGGGTGTAGGGTTATAGGGTTTAGAGTTGAGGGTAGTTGAGGGTTCAGGGTTTAGGTTTGAGGGTTGAGGGTTTAGGGCTGAGGGTTTAGGGTTGAGGGTTGAAGGGCGTCCTCCAGACTTTGGCTACGGTTCGATGTCTCCGAGGTGAGGGTTTGGAGTTGGGGTCCCCGAGGCACGGGCTCCTTTTAGGGTTTAGGGTTTAGGGTTTAGGGTTTAGGGTTTAGGGTTTACAGGTTTGAGGTACTTGGAGGATCATGGGACTTAGTAACTACGATTATTAATAAGATAACTAAGATAACTATACTTATATGTAATTATAACCCCACTTAAGGTAGTTATAACCTTACTTACTAAGTCCCATGATCCTCCAGGTCGTGAACCACGAAGGCCCCGATTGGCGGCAGGACGCAGAATCAGAAGCCCCAAAGGCCTTACTCAATCCTAGGCCTTAACTTTCCCTAAGGGTCCATGTACCCAAATAGTATATACTTTGGCGTTAAAGTAGTCCCTATATAGGTACTTTGGGGCCAATGTATATACTATATGAGTACATGGGCCCTTAGGGTTTGAGCCCTAAACTCCTGAGTCTTCAACCCGAAGTGTTTCTGAAAACCTTTGGGGTTTAGGGTTTAGGGTTTAGGGTAATTCGCAGCGAAGCCAAGGAGGGGGAGTTCAACAACGACTTCTGCATCCACGGAATACTGCAGGAAGACTGAGCGGCCGCCTTCGTGCAGTGCTAGGAGTTTGGGCGCCCGAGGCTGTGCTTAGACAAGTGTTTGCAAGCAAAGTATAAACAAGTACAAATACCCTAAGGGTCCGTGTGCCCAACTAGTATATTTTGTTGCCACAAAGTACCTATTTAGGGACGACTTTAAGGCCAAAGTATATTCTATTTGGACACATGGACCCTTATAGGGAAGTGTAAATCAATACACAACATGACCGAACTCTTAGCGCAGTTACAAACAAGATGGCGCATACGTCGCACAGCAGAATCAGATGTAGTCTTGCCGACATGCGTGTAGACTTCAGCAGCACTTTTTCAAAAGCCCGGTAGTATTGTCTTCATCTACCTAGGGGCACCTGATATGTTCTTAACATGGGCGCTTAAGCCCTGAACCCAAGTATACTTATTCAGGTCGCTATATCAGCCCAAGAGCAAGCCCAGCGAGAAGGGTCAAAGACACCCAGCTGCTGGTGACGTCAGCCAGAGACCGAGGGCGACAGAAGGGTCCATAGGTTTGTAGAATAGGTGTCATCCATTCGCAAGCAAAGAGTTAAAAGCTGCGCCGGCAAAAATGGACACACCCAAATCCTAAACCCAAGCCCTAAACCCTAACCTAGATCGACAACTTCAAGCCTAAACCCTGCAAAACGTGTGTGTGTGTGTCGGGATTGGATCGAAATTCCAGGCTTGTCGTTCGGATCCATGTCCCTAAACTGGGGGTTCCGATAAGGGCTACTATAAGGGTTAAGGGTGTAGGGACCTTAATAACTTAATAATTAGAATAGGGTTTTGAGGGTTCCTTGTTGTATACTTATAGTATAGTGTACCCCAAAACCCCATTAAGGCCCCTACATTAGTTGTTTTTGTTTGGTGGTGGCCGCGGAAAAGAATCAGGGGTTCAGGCCGGGCTCCACTCTTTCGAGGCCTACCGACGGCCAGAGGCTAGATTGGAGAGTTTAAGAGAGAATCGGGTGATATACTGTTGATGGTATAAATCCTGCATTTCCTTAAGGACCCTAAATGGCGGGAATTGTGGTATATTCTTGAATGGGTAATGCAGAATGTATATGATGAGCCGTAGTGCGGCAGGACTCGGCGTTTTTGTGGGGTGTTGGGCGATTACTGAAATGACTCTGGTTCGGATCACAAGATAGAGTCTTGGCTCCTGGTGATCTGGGGCTTAATTGTCTGGGGCTTTATTAGGGTCCGGGTCTATGCTTCGTGCATTAGCGAGGCACTGAAACTGCCCTGATGGCTCTGATGTGTTATGATACTGGCACCTGTTTGATGACACGCCCGAAGTTGCATCGTCAGGTACGCTCAACCTTTCACCCTGCAAACCCCAAGTCCGCAAGGCCCGCAGACGCCACATCCCTCAGCCTCACTTCGGCACCTTGGCCTCCGAAGCTTATGTAGTTGTTACCCTTTTTAGGGGTTTCAAATCTTTGGTTTCAGCTCGAGGCGATGAGGGCTTTTGGGGGTTCATGTTGCTTTAGGGTTCATCGGGGGCTTTGTGGCTTTGGGGGGTTCATACCGGAGTGGAAGGTCAAAGAGGTTTGGAGGGCCGTCGGGAACTATTAAAGGATAAAGGTTGAGGGTTTAAGGTTAAGGGTTTAGTGTTTAGGGTTTAGGGTTTAGGGTTCAGGGTTTAGGGTTTAGGGTTTAGGGTTTAGGGTTTAGGGTTTAGGGTTTAAGGTTAAGGGTATGGTATGCACACTTAGGGGACGATGTAGTTGGGTTCAGGGTTCAAGGTTTGGGGCTTAGCACATCGGGGCATCAAGATTTCTCCTTCCCAGTTGGCGGTGGCTGAGGGTCTCGGCGGGTAGAGCAGTATGTCGGGTTGTTTTTGGACAGTCACTGTCTCGAATATAAATCCGAGATCTTGAACCCTAATCAGCTCTTGGCCCCCAATGCAAACCTTAGCCCTAAGCAGCTAAACCTTTGGCGTCCCGTTCTCTTTGGTCTTGGTTCTCACAGCTACCAACAGAAATCTGTCGTAAACCGACAGTATTAGACCTCTGTGGTCCTAACCCCAAAATCGCCCTAAACCCTAAACCCCTGAACCCTAAACCCTAAACCCCTGAACCCGAAACTCTAAACCCCTGAACCCTAAACCCCTAAACCCTCAAACCCTAAACCCGAAAGCCCTAAACCCCTAAACCCTAAAGCCCTAAACCTTAAACCCTAAACCCCTAAAGCCCTAAACCCTAGAACCCTAGACC